CCCCAAAACCCCAAAACCCCAAAACCCCAAAACCCCAAAACCCCAATTATTCTTCTTAATTTTGAATTTTAAAACTAAAAATGCTAGACTCTGCATCCCAGAATCCAGGGTATTACTCCAATATGTCAGGAATTCGTCAGACTATTGATTTAATAAACCCAGCATCGTACATCCAAAAGCTGTCGGAGCGGGGACACCTATCTACTCTGTACCAAGACCTAGAACGGATATTTGAAATTGAGAAAGAGACTAATAAAATAGAATGTGTACTTAAGAATAACAAGTCTCACTGGAAAGACTACTTTTACTGCTTCAAACTTAACTTTGAAGTAATTGCAAATAGAATTATCAATGATGTCTTCAACCATATGATGCATCAGGAAGAGGTTAAGAGGGATAACAATGTCTTCCTCCAACAGAAACATGATAAAGAGAATATTCAGAATAGGAGACAAAGTAATGAAGGAGTAACCCCTCGGAGAGAACCTCTGAAGCAGCTTAATGTGCATCTTGAAGAAAAGGAGAAGGATATATTTAATAACAGAAAATATTCTAACAAGGAGAGCATCATCAAGCAGTTAAAATAAGAAGCATAACTTTAAACCAAAAGCTCAAGCTTCTAATTCCAAATCAAGGCAGCACAAACTTCCCAAAAATAGGTCAAAATCAAGATCTGTTTCCTTTACGAAAAACTCGCATTGCGAGAGTTTCAGAAGAAGCAACTCAGGGTCACTAATCAGGAACACAGTGCCTAACCAGGAATCACATGGAGGGTGCGGAATCAGTCCTACGAGGGATACTTTCACCAGAATGGATCGGAGCAGTAGAAATTCCCTCATCAGTATGCCCAAAAAGCAAAGGTTTCCAAGAGAGCCATCCAAATCTCCAGGTCCTTGACACTACAATCCTAGCTACATAAGCCCTCGTGGGGACTTCATCGCCAAGAAAGAGTTCAGGTACTACGACCGAGAACAAGACTTTAACCGTGTCCACAGAACTTTCAACTAAGCCTACTCATATGGGGTTTTGGGGTTTTGGGGTTTTGGGGTTTTGGGT